CAGGTCAAAAACAGGAAATCAGGTTTTCTTTCTCAAAGTCTCAGAGCTGAGAAGAATGGATGGGTGGATATTCTAGTTTTTTCCAAGTACAGAAGGTAAATGATAGCTTTAGATGAAAATCACTTTGTAATAAAAGATACAGAGAACATATAGCATTGTTCTGGCTGTTATAGAGTGGGTTTCAGTTATTTTAGCCTAAGAAAGAAATTTAGGCGTGGCTTAAACCTAAAATAGTATCCATGACATCTACCTATACTTAGAACTATTTATAATTTACTAATATAAATGTCTGTTTCTTGAACATCTGAAGTTTCTAGGCTTTTTTTTTCTATTATCAACCTCTATAAAAGCTATAAATCCTGATCTTACAACAGCAGTCAAATCCATCAAAGAGAAATAATCTCAATGAAAGCAAGATGAGTGTTTAGTGGTTTAAGATTCATTTTCAGTGGTCTCTGACCTGTATTGTCATGGCTCAATAAACACAAATAGGGGCTGGTGAGATGGCTCAGTGGTCTAAAGCACCTACTTGGAACAAGCTTGGCAAAGCACAGGGACCGCAGTTCAATTCCCCAGCACCACATGCCAGCCAGTCCCGCCCCCTGGTGGGCTGAGCTGGCCACACACACACACACACACACACACACTAAATAAATGTTAAATAAATAAATAAATTTAAAAAAATAAAAAAATAAATAAACACAAATAAATAAATAACTTGTCAGGTTAAAAAAAAAAATTCAGTATTTAGATGCCAGATAGGAAACACAGATTACTTTGTGCAGCGTCGTTAATAAGACCTACAACACACTACTGCCGTTTTTAATTCTCTACAATTGCTTCCCGTGAGCAGGAACTGTATTTATTATTACAAGGCAATGGCAATACGGCATTGCAACCTGGAAGTGACAGTGGCTTGCTGTTCTAAACATCCTAAATTAAAAGTATGAAATTGTGATGTTTTTAAATGTGTCAACAATAAAAATGGATAAAGGCTAAAAAAAAAAAAAATCAGAGCCTGATACTTTTATTCAAATAAATATTTATCAATTTTTCATGTAAACATTTAAATTTATTATATTTGCTTAATCACATATTCATGTTTATTATGATATAATTTTTCATCTATTTGTTTATAAAACAAATGTTTATCAAGAACCTACTATATGCTGGTCACTGATCTAATGCTCAGAATACAATAAAGAACAATAACAAAAAGTCCGAGCCTCCTCCAAGAAACTTTGTTGGTTGAGACAGGAAAAATAAATACAATGCATATGGTAGACAGCAAAAAGTGCTTTGGATTAAGGTAGAGTAAAAAGTTGATAAAAGTGGGGGATATGATGAAATTTTAGATTAAGTGACTGAAAAAAAACTTCACTGAAAAGCAAAGAAAACAAGATGGAAAAAAAAAATCTCTAGTAGACAACCACAGGCACCCCACCATTAGAGGTTGCCAAGGGGCAGGACCCGGGGTGCAGAGAAAATAGCACATGGGATTCCCTTTGGAGTGACGGAGTGGTTGTGTACCCTGTGTGTGCTGGGCATCTTGGGAGTCTAGATGTGGGATCGAGGGTCCTACAACTATAGACGTGCATGCACAGTTCAGCTTCGAAAACACTTCAGCTACCAGTACAGGGCCATCCTTAGCCCTCCTCTACTGTTCTCTCTCACTTCACGTTCAGAAATAACTAACACGCTTAATTTGGAGCTTATCACTTCTAACAATTATACTTTTTCTACATCTGATGATATCCCCTAACTCTGAATAAATTTAAATCACATGCAACCTTTTGAAACTCATCTTTACTCAATGTTACATATTTTTTTAAATTTATGCCTAGGGATGTAGGCATCCCTAGGTCACCAGTTTTAAAATGTATTAACTTAAGGTTGGGCCAGCTATCCTTTTTTAAATAGTCATTAAGTGTTTCTTTTTTTTTTTTTTTTTCCTCGAATGCCTTCAGGGCACTTTTGGCCAGCGGGAGAGTTGTGAGGTTCGAACTCCAGCAACCTGAGGCTGACAGCTTTGTGGAAGCAGCCACTTAAAGGCCTGAGCTAGGGCCAGGCCCCCTCATTAAGTGTTTCTTACATACAAAATGAATCTACTTTTATTTTTATTTTTTTTTTTTTTTTTTTTTTTTTTTGCTGCACCAGGGATTGAACTCAGGACCTCGAGCTTGCCGGGCAAGTGCTTATTCTACTGAACTATCTCCTTGAGCTCTACCTTTATTTAAAAAAAAAAAAAAAAAAATGTATCAAAACATTGTTAACTGTGTTATTTTATTCCTCTGGCTAGAACTTACATTGGAAAGAAATGGAGATTTCTACAATATTGGAAAGAAATGGAGATTCCAAACATATATTTTGTTCCAACCATTAAAAAACTGCTTTGGGGCCTGCCAAATAGCTCAGTGGATTAAAGCGCCTGCAAGCAGGTGCAGGGGTCAGGGGTTTGATCCCCAGGCCTGCTGTGCCATCCCCGCCCCAGGGCACGCTGAGATGGCAATTGAGACTGAGCGTGGTGGCGCACGCCTGTAATCCCAGCTCTTGGGAGACTGTAAACAGGTGGATCACTACAAGTCTGATCTAGTAGTGACACCCTGAACACCCTGTAGGCCCTTCCCTTTTTAAACTGGAAAACTAAAGGGCACACAAAAAAAAAAAAAAAAAAAAAAAAAAACCTGCTTTCAATATTTCATCACATCTGCTATAAAAGATATTTACTAATTATGTCAGGTTAAGAAAATTTTTTTCTATTACTGATTTGAAATTTTTCTTCATGTGTATGTTGAATTTTGTTAACTCTTTCTGCATCTACTAAAATGATATTCTTTATTAAAATAATGAATCACATTATCTCTTCTGATCTTAGCTTACTAGTTGCTCCTAGTACAACTACAATTCAGTTGTTTAATTTTGTTGGTTAATCTATTTCTACATTCAGTTCTAGGATTTTTGAATCTATGTGAATATTAAAATATTGTCCTTGTCTGGATTTGATTATAAAAGTTATGCTAACTACATAAATTGACCCTGGAAACAGATCCTCTTTTTCAAATATTTGGAGCAGTTTATATAGAAATGAAGGAATTTGTATTTTGATGTTTGGAAGAGCCCCTCCGTAATCTTATCTGGATGGTTATTTTTCTAAATGCATGTTTTTACTGAGGTAACTATAAGGCCATACAAAAAGGTAAGCTGTAATACAGAGGGCCCGTGTGCCCCTAACCCTGCAGGGGGCATGGAACTCAAGACCTTCATGCTGAGCTCCACCTCCGTCACGCTAAGTCACTAACTTGCTCAGCCTGGGCTCACATTTGGGACCCTCCTGAGTGCTGGGGTTACAGGTGCAAGCTCCACCCCACCGGGCCCCCATGTACTATTTCATCAGACTGTCCACTAATTATACAATATCCTAAATATGACAGTGCCAGAATATAATCTTTCAGATTTTCCTTTGTATTCTGTTTTAAACAGCTAAGCATCCTGCACGTGTGTACACAGCTCCACAGTCAGTCACAGAACAGTCCCATAACTCCCAGGATCTCAGCTGTCCCTCCACAACCACAGAGAAGGTAAGCAGCACGCTCTTAATGTGTATCTCCCTAATGGTTAACAGCCCGGGTCAGACGTTCTATTTGTATTTTTGTTCATTTTGGCAAAGTTCATTTTTTCTAGGAAATATTTGCCAAATATTTGAAATTAGTATAAAGTTTTTTTTTTCCTTTTTTTGGTGGTACCAGGGATCAAACTCAGGACCTTGTGCTTGCCAGGCAAGCACTTATTCCACTGAGCTATCTCCCTGGCCCCTAATATAAAGCTTTTAATAGCTTCCTCTCATTTTAAAAATCTCCTTGTGCCCTAATGTTTTCATTACCTGGTCTTTTTTTTTTTTTTCATATATACATCACCAAAGGTTTAATATTTTTCTTTTAATTTTTTTTTTCCAGAACCAGGGATTGAACTCAGGCCCTTGCACTTGCCAGGGAAGTGCTTATTCTACTGAGCCCTCTCCCCGACCCTATTTTTCTTTTAAAACAATTAATTTTATCTTCCAGAAAAATATATTTCCAGAGAGTAAACCTAAAAACCCTTAATGCTAAGGTGTATCCTTTAAAATTATAAAACTATCAAAATAACTCATTCTCTATTTTTATTAACTCAATGTTTTCTATTTTTTCTTTTCCTTTCTACTTATATTTTCCCTCTAACTTTTTGAGGCCAATCTATGACTAATTAATTTTCAGTCTTTCTTTTTTCTATCTATTCATCAAAAACCTTAATAATTCTTGGACAAATTTTACCTTCATAAAGAAATACAGAATATTCATTGTTGTTGAACTGCAAATATTTTCTAAATTCCAGTATGAGTCCATCTGACTTATGAGTTCAAAAGATAAGTTAAACATGAATTTTATTGTTGTGTTTGGGTTACTTTTTTAAACATGCGTTTTGGTGACAGAACAGTCCGAATGATATATCTCCAACCTTTTTTTATTTGAGACAGGTTCTTGCTCCATTCCCAGATGAGGCTCTAACCTGTGACCCTCCTGCCTCAGCCTCCCAGAGTGCTGGGATTACAAGTACGCATCACTCATCAGTCCACCCCAGGGCCCATTCTCCTCCTCCCACCCCTGCTAGTGACTCAGGCAAGGGTTACTAGGCGCCCTGCACTGCAGTCTGACCATGACTTTCTGGCTTACTGATCTCTAACAAAAAGCACCATGAGGGGGCGCCCAATAGCTCAGTGGATTAAAAGTGTCTGCAAGCAGGCACAGGGGCCAGGGAGTTCGATCTCTGGGCCTGCTGTGCCAGTCCCCCACCCCCGGGGCATGCTGAGACAGCAATTGAGACTGGGTGTGGTGGCGCGTGCCTGTAATCCCAGCTTTTGGGAGGCTGTAAGCAGGTGGATCATTTCGAGTCCGACCTAGCAGTGAGACCCCGGAACACCCTGTAGACCCTTCCCTAAAATACAAAAAAAAAAAAAAAAAAAAAAAGCACCACGATTCGCAAACAGGAAAGCAAAGCCAACACTCATTCCTTTACTCACACAGTTATTGCATTGTCTCTTCAGGCTGCCCCATGAGGAGAGGAAACAGAAAGGATGCCTCCGCTTTACAGACAAGGAACCTGAGATTCACAGCAGGCCAGAGGCCACTTCCAAAGTGACAGTGGGTGACACAGTGCAAATCACCTCAGCCTCCTCCCCCCAAGACAACCCACGGGTCCCAGGCTGCCGCCCACACTTTCTCCTATACAATGCTATTTACCTTCCTAAAACATCTTTCACAACATTACAGAAACTGCAACCAAAGAAACAAAACACTCTATATACACTTTAAACTACAGAGAAATTGCACGTATGGATCATTTTCCCCTTCTATTTATTCACTCAAAATTTTACTGACTTTATTACATTCAAATGTTACATTGCTTTTATTTATGATAACACTGTGGAGGTATTTCAGCATTTTGTTTTCCTGTCAGATGAAGCCTGGGTTGTGACCACTTTAAAATTAATGAAGAGAAGGCTCTGCTTGGTTACTACACATAAATGAAGCGAGCTGCTCTCCGCCACTGTTCTGCAGTGGACTTCACACAGGGCTGATGCGCAATCGGCACATCTTCGACTTGAATTAGAGTGAAACTTAATGGGAGGAGATAACGTTCTACTGCCAGCTTCCACCAATTAAAATATGATCAGGAAAATGAGTTGGTCACTACTGAACAACCTGCAAACGGTGTTAAGGGTCAAGCCCAAATCAATACAAGGCACTTTTAAGGTGAGAACATAATCTGAGGGATCCAAACACACACACAGTTTTGTTTCCAGGATTAAGTACACAGGCATCCATATTAGGATCATTTGGAATCTAACAGTCTCAGGTTAGGATCACAGAAGTGGCTCAGGGAGAAGACACGCAACAGACCTGAGGGGGGATAACGTTCACAAAGAAAGGAATGAGACTCAAGACACTCCTCCTCTTGTTAGGACCAGGCCTGTCAGAGATCCACAGCGTACCTCTGTCACAATATTCCAGGTTGTCCTTTTTCACATAGTCTAGATGGGGCTCCAGATGGCAGACCAATATAAAGAGATGTTCTCTTGGGTGACTTTGGTCCTTTTGGTGTGACACTCATTCAGGAGAGTATCTAACTCTACCCATCTTTTTCTCACCTGCAGGGGAGCAAAAGAGATCAGAGCTCATATCTTACTACAAACATGTGCCCTCCAGGTCAACACAAAGTCACATGTCCCAGAACGTCCAGAAGGTACCTGGTGGTCCTCAAAGTGTCACGTCAGCTCTGGTGATCTGATTTTTGAATGGTGAGCCTAACACGCTTTTCCAGTTCCAATAAGTTTTGGTAAAATTTTTCAGCAGTATCTTCGTCTACATCCAGCTAGAAAAGAAGCAACAATAGGGATGACTAGAAAGAACAAAACGAACAGCATGGATATAAAAAGAAGGTACTCTACACATTTTAGAGAACTGAAAGCAAAGAACAAAGCTGACAGAAAAGTTCTGCAGTGGCTGCCACATGTGGACTGACAGGAAACTCCTAAGAACCTGAGGACATATTAATTCTTTTGTAAATTCTAGTGCTCACCGAACTCCTCCTTCCCTTAAATGGTAAGGCTGAAAGATCTGCGTGCTGCTGTCTACCCTGACTCCTATGTGCCCAGTAACAGAAGACACCAGTGACTGTGAAAGAGAAGTCCAGAAGAGCTAAGTTAACGGACTTGAACTTGCAATAGCTAATACTTCCACGGATCCATCACCTTTGGTCAAGCTCAGGTGGGCTCATTGTCCTCCAGAAAATACTACACATATCCCAGCCTCCCTGGTGGTTGGGGGTGGCATGGGACACTATTCTTGCAAATGAGACCTAAGTGAGACCTGAACCTTTTCAAAAGGAACAGGGTGCCCTTTCTTTCCTCTCTTCTTCCACACTGCTCTCTTAAGCCAGAAGGATGATGGCCCCACCCAAAGGACAGAGCAGTGACTGGCTAGGGACGAGCAGATGCTTGCCACTTCGGAGCTGCCAGGCTGGGCTGAGGCTGCCTCTCTCCAAACTGCTCTTACATGCAAGACTGTATCTTGTGTGAATCGCTGTTCTTTTACCTTTTGTTAGGTTTTGTGGTGGCTCAGTAATGAAATAGGAACGATAAAAGAAGCCTTTACTAGCTCTAAAGACAGGGAGAGGATCCCACGGAGGATGGGGGAGCCTCTGACCTGAGACACAGAAAGCTGAGATGTTTACGGACTTTTGCTGGGGGAAACGTGAAAGGGAATTGTATCCAGAACTGGGCTGCAGAAGAGGAAGTGGGCACTGGGAGGATAAGCTGCTGTTCTAAGGGCTTCAGCAGTGTTAGATGACCACCATAATAATTCAACAATTTATATGTGGGCCAGAACCTACCACCTTCTTGTGTTTCAAATTTTAAAATCTCATTTTAACTAATACCCTATATATAAAAGCAAACTTTCAGGCCCTATAAAACTTGTTTTCAAGTCAACAGGGATAAGCATCAAATGCAGGCTTACTTTTTACTAAAATGAAAGGCTGACAATTAAAGAACCCTTTTTTAATTTTGTATTTTTATTAGTACCTGCGTGCAGCCCATAATGATCATATTCATCCTGGCGAGCTGGCACGTCTGTAACGTATCTTCTTTCATCCCCTTCCCCTAACTTCAGCCCTCCGCCTCTATCTCTTGCCCCCCCTCCCCTTTGCCTAAGCTATTTCTGAAAAAATGCTTTTATCATTTTGAAAATAACATGTAGTCATTCAATCACATTAGAGGTTTGGGGTTTTTTTTGTTTTTTTTTCCGTTTTGGACTTTGAAAAATTAAGAGATCTTTCTAGCTCAACTGCATCTTTTAACAGAGTGGTAACTGCCCCACATTAATCAAAGGTTAAAGCAGTTTCTTCAGTGCATTTTCATAGTATGCTAATAAGGTATTTGATTTGTAGAATTTAATATTTTTCTCCACTTGATCTACAAACCAATCCCTTTTAGGGTACTAGATAGGTAAATTCAAATAAGCGCTGCCTGCCTAAACTTAAGCTCATTGATTTACAACACGACTTCTCCAAAATGTGTTCTTTGGGGTGTTAAGGAAATGTTAAATTTGAAGAAAGAAATTAACATAGTCAGGAACAGTTTGGAAACACCAGTACTGAACATGTCACGTGGTGCCTGCCTACACACACACACACACACACACACACACACACACACTTCTTAACTGTTTGAACTTTTCAAAGTTTTTACTGAACTGAGATGCCTCATATAAATCTCTTAAAAATGAGAATGTAATAGGAAACACTCCTCAAATTTATATGCCTGGGGGACTGCTTCTTGCAAATATTCACAAGGAACTAGTACCTCACAGCACACCCTGAAAATCACAGAAGCTTGACTTATTTTTAGGAACAGACAGCTTGAAAAGCAGTGAACATGGCTCCTTTCAACCTCATGCCACTCACGTGACTCACCTGTCAGGACTTCCTTGCCTCAACCTAGTTTTATTTTAGGACAATGCCTCCTTACAAGAAGCTAAGCAGAGAAAAAGGAGAGGCTGAGAAAAGAAATCTACTCCTGACGAAAGTACAACAAAATAGTTCTTGTAGTTCAAAATAAATGCTCTCATTCTGCAGTACCTAACGCCATGTGTGATTTCTTCTCAGGAGATTGAGTCCAGTACTGATTTGATTTCTTCCCCTGTATCTTCAAAACATCAATCTATTAAAACTAGTAATTGTCACAAACAAAATCAAATACTACAGCGGAAATTACCTTCTCACAGAAAGAAACTTCATATTTCATCCTTAATGAAATATAATGCAACATACTTAACTGTGTGTTAGGAAATGGGGGGTGCAGGTCAGCCTTCTCTTCCCAGGCTTAATGCTGAGGGGGAGCCGAGGGTAGCAAGTGTGACAGACAACTGGTGGAGCTCACCAGCAGCACCTGGCCTGCTCTAAAAGGTCAGAGAAGGCTGGGACAAAAGCTGAAATCTCAGCAATGAAGTGAAATCAATCAGATTAAAGAAGGATATAATAATAAGCAACTTAGGTGGAGGGAACAAGCTGTGTAGACGGGAGCAGACAACAAATGAAGCAGAGCCACGGGGATGCCAGTGGGGAGAGCAAGGCCCAGCCAGGGAAGGGAAGGTGGGGAGGGACAGGGCTGCCAGGGAGGCGGGCCCCGACCCACCAGCCCAGAAGCAAGCATCCGCCGTGTAACAATGCGAACAGATTTACCTTTTGCATAGTGACGTAATTGTTTCCCAGACCTGTGGTGGCGCTCAGGTATTTGGTCAGCGGGTTAAGAGACTCGGGTTTTTGGTGGAAAAGCCATACCTGAAAATCAAGAGTGTGTCAGTAATTTGTTTTTTTCTGCCAAAGATGGGGAAGGCAATTAGAGATTTCCAGTCATTATTTAGCTATCTCTTCCTTTAATACACACAGAGATCCCCCAGGATGGAGACTAGCTGATTTAGACTAGACCTTGGCTCATGCCAAGTGATATACAGTAAAGTATATCACTGATGTAATATTTTTTAATAGACTGGCAGGCACATAGACAAGATTCAAAAGGTACACCCGGAATAAGATGTAAGGTTCCCTCCCTTTCCAACTTCCCAGCCACCTAGTTATCTTCTATGAAAGCTACCACACTTAGTAGTGTCTTGTGTATTCTTCCAAAGAAAATCCATTCACTGGAAAGCATATAAACCTTTTCTTTTACTCAAACAAGTACAACACACAGAAATTTTCATTTAAACAATATGCCCTGGAAATATTTTTAAATTAGTGCACATAGAGCTGTTTTTATTCTTTTCTTAAAAAAAACCACAACATTCCATTTCAGGGATGTTCTATAATTTATATATATCAGTTTCTAATGAAGAAGCACACAGGATGCTTTCAGTCTTTGCTATAAACACTATATTATAATGATGAATACATTATTATATGTAAGTTTTGACTACATTTATAAAATGAGTATCAAAAATGAAATGGCTTGGTTAAGTGTTGGGAGCTGCTAAGGCTGGAAACTGATTCATATGTGGGAGGGCAAAATGATGCCTCACTGACTAAAGCAGTCAAGTTACCTTAGTCTTGAGAAGAACATCCTGCCTGGACACCGTGGTCTATTAGTTGCTAGGCAACACTGTGTCTTGTAACTTTACAAAGGTATATTCAATAAGGCTTCTACTGTTGCAGGGGAGGGAGGAGGTTTTATCTATCAGGCTTGTCTACCATCTAACCTCAGCTATCATCTCTTGTCTTTATTTTCTGAGTCCTCTCACCTTTTTCTCCCAGGACTACTCAGAAACCAACAGATCCCAACAGTTAAGGATAGGTACATTTAATATTTTCACTGATCTTGCCAAAGAACGAGTCCCTGATGGACGCTTTAGAATGGGTCATGAGCGAAAAACACAGTGAATGTTTAAATTAAAATTTTATTACAGTAAAGTATAGTAATTTATTACTGTACAGTAATTATCACAGTAAGTTGTTACACATTGCTATTTATCTCCCTCAAAATACTCTGCCTCACTTTGAACACACTTATCCCATTGCTCTTGTCAGTTTCTGAAGCAGTTTGCTAAGTCCTGTTCTGTGAGGGTGTTTAGAATCAATTCAAAATGTTCACCCTCTCACCATCATTCTGACCCTGGGGAGGAGCCTGAAGTCACATGGATAATAAGGTGGCTAAGGATATGCTATATTTTTACCAGCCTGCCTGTCCACTGGAGGGCACTGAGAGACCTTCACTGCATTTGTAACCACACGTCATAAAGACACCCATGAAAGACAACTCGCAGAGCTGCTTTAGAAAGTGATAAGGAGGATGGGATAAATGCACGCAAAGCGAGGGGGAGTATTCTGAGAGGAATTAATAGCAAGGTGTTATTTACTGTAGTAAAGATCTGTTTAAACACTCAGTATATATATTTTTTGATCCAATCTGTAGCTTATTCTGTCCTGGCAATGTAAAAGGGTCCTTATTTCTCTAAACTCTTGTCAACATGGTACATTAGCAAGCTTTCTGAGAGTTGCTAATTGAACTTAAAACTTAATTTTTCATCACACTTCTAACTGGCATGTCTCTTCACGAGTGGAGGTCGCCATCTTTTCGTGCAATTAGAACAACTTAGAAACTTTCTGTTCGTGTCCCTTGTTCATTCCAATCCACTATTTTTCATAGGATTTGCTGAACCTTTTAATATACTAACAAAATGAGCCTTTTAGCTATCCTAACAATGGCAGATATTTTTCTTCCTCTGGAGGTCTTTGAATTTAACTTATAGTGGAATTTTTGTTCAAACTTTTAAATGTTTAGTCAAAATTTTTAGTCTTTTTCTTTACAGTTTGTACAACAGATTAGACTTCACACCCTGCAATTCTTCGCAATTTTTCCTATTATATTTTAACTTTTACATTTAATCTAATTATTAACAACATGTAATTATAAAATATATAAAGAAAAGATTCTAGTCTACTTTCTGGTATCAATATTTGCTGAATAATGCACCTTTTTCTCACCGGAATGTCTTTTTTTTTTTTTTTTTTTTT